ATATATATATATATATGCAGGCATGGAGCCATGTAGCCTCTGGAATGTGGCACGGCGAGGCTGAAGCTCGCGCAGCTGGTGCCCCTAGCATGCGCGGTGCTGAGGGGTCAACCTGAGTTCGCTGCGTCTGGGGACTTCATTACTTCTTGGATGAGCGGGATCATCGCCGAATCATCGCTGTTAGCCCCAGTCTTGGCATGAGCATGCACTGCCATCGCGTCGAACGTTGCTACGACATGATTGTCACGACGATATGTCATGTCTCAGTTGGCTCTCATGCGTTAACTCCGAGATACACATAGGAGAGAGAGAGAGAGTCTCAGTGCGTGTGTGTGTTGAAAGTTTGTTTGTGTTTTGCTTGCTATTCCTTGCAAGCTGTTACAGGGAGACAGAGTGATCGGATTCGGGGACAGCTCGGCAGCAGCCCTCTAAACGAAAATATTACCTGCAGCACCAAGTTACAGAAACCCAGATGCATGACTTCAGATGTCATGCGACAACAAGCAGAAGCAAGACTTCGCATGTACATACCGGCGGCAAGAAAATGCTTCGAGAGCTCCCTGAGGAATCCAGGATTACTGCCTGGATATGTATGCTGATCCTTCGTGAGCCGAGGTCTCAGATCTTGGCCCAACAAGCGGAAGCGGCCCGGCCTGTCCCCGAGCCGAAGCCGGAGTCTGATCCCGAGCCGCCGCCTTCAGGCCCGTGACGGTTTAGGGTTTCCTCAGGGTTTCGTGAGATACAGGTCTGAACAATTCTAAGAGGGTTTGGGAGGGGGGGGGGGGGTGAGTCTTATTCTACTTATCCCAGGGGTGTTTACATGGGTTGTGGTTCAGGGATGGGACTTACAAGATGCAGACAAGGGTGTCGAGCATCCAGAAGGCAGCATAAGACTTTGGAAGGGGCATGAGCAACACTCGATGCCAATCCTTTGCCCTTGTCGTTCATCGGCATTTGGAACGTGTGACGGGTGCAAGCCACAAACGATCGTTAATTGGGGAACCATAGCGCCGTGACCCTGAACCCCAAATATACGTTCAAGCATACTGTTGGCAGTCTGAGACTCGAAAGCAAAACTGCTGATGCGAGATGTCTCGCGCTGGAGTTGTGGCATTCTAGACGAGTAACATATGAGGTCACACGGGACTGCCGGGCGTCGCATCTTCAGACCCAGACCTTCTTCAGGCAAACGTGCGCAGAGCGCGGGGTCGTCGGAGCAAGCCGGAGGCAGCCGGGGTCTTTTCCCACACAACCCGGGAGCTTGCAGAAAAAGTGAAAGTAGCAAACACGACAAGTCTCTGCCCGGTAAGAACAGTCCACTCAAAGGCATCATGAATAGTAAGCCTTGGCTTTCCCGAAGGGTTGTAGAGTTCCAGATGGATTCTGACATGAGGGCGTTCTCCACTTTCAACCTCCAACTTCCACTGGCTTGTGAAAACGCGAGTTCCGAAACCTCCAGCCTCGGCGATTGTAGGTGTCACAGCAGAGAACGGACAACAATGTGAATGGTAGGCCCCTCCTTTATAACAGGCCGGTTTCCATATGCACGATACCTTTAAGTGTATGGCAACTCCCATGTCGCTGCCTTCTCGCAGGCTCGCAGCCGACCGCGCCAGAAGATCCCGAGGCCAGGGAGTTCTCACAGAGCAACAGCAAAGAATCCAGAATCTGGGAATCCTCAGAAGGGTTTGAGGCGTTGAGGTTTTGAGCTCCAGAGTGTGAGCCTTTTGACAATGCAGCTCGTTTGGGCTTTTTCTGCACACGTCTTCCTTCTGAATGTTGTGTTGTTCATCATTGGCAGGATCAATTGCAAGAGATGTTGTCAGCAGAACAGTAAATGGATAACTCTTGTAATCAGTGAAAGTCCTGCAGCTGTGACTGCAGATGTCGTGGCAAGGGTATTCTTGCACAGGCAGCCGCTGAAGCACGTCTGGAGGCTCGACGGCAAGATGAGGCGAAGTTGCTTTTGTGTGGCGTCAGCTGGTTTGGCTTGGTTGCGGTGGCTGCGATCGTAGGGGCTCTTTTCAGTCAAGTCCCTGTCTGCCCGAAGGCGAAGTGGAAGCAGCTCGAGGCCAATGGCTTTCAGGTTGACATTGACTGGTTTTGGTGCCCTCTAGTCCAGCACCACGAAGGTCTTGGGTCAGTCTGCTTCTTGAGTTGACAAGAAGCCAGGATCCAAGCAAGACCTGAGGACTCCAAGCTCTGAAGCACCAAACCTGCTCCGCCAGTCCAAGCTCCGAAGTGCGAATCCCAAGCTAGAGGCCTTGACTTTAGCGCCCAGCCCTCGCTAGAAAGAAGCATCGACACAGCATGACTATCACTCTCGCTGTCAGCGACCGTAAACATTACCCTTATACTTTTCATGCGACTATGCCACTCTGTTTCATGATGCATGTGGCCGTATGTGTGGATGTAGGTATAAACACATACATGTATATGTACGCGCGGATATATGCACGCATATGCATGCACATAATACATTCATACCTATATTTATGCTTGCATCTACATATCTACATATATGTATACACGCACTTCTCTCTGTGCATGCGTACATGCTTTGTTGCAGGCCAAGGTCGCTGCAGTGAGCGACAGCGACGCTCCGCTTCGGCTTTGGGAGGCGCAGAGTGCGGTTTGGGGGGGCCCTGGGCGTTTTATCGGAGTCTCGGGTGATCGCTGCCGCAATTTCTGGTTTTGGCAGCCTAGCAGCTGGCGTCTACCAGAAACCTGACGACTTCTTCCAAGCAGATGTGAAGATGAAAGCAAGATAGTTGGGATAGGTTTTGCTGCGGTTGCAAAGCATGGTGGCATGGTAAAAATTAGTGCAACTTTTCGGGGCCCGGCGCTCGAAGGTAAGCTAGACCAAAGGATGCAAAATGTTCGCAGTCTCCTCGTGCAGTGTGAAATGTACAAAGACCCTGCCTTGGACCACACCAGCTCATGCAAAACATAGCCGAAGTGCAAGAGAGCCTTCAACCTTCGCATAAGTAGATAAATTTGGCAGTAAACAGGCTGTACTGTAAGGAACAAAACTATGCAGGCAAGGAAGTAAAGGGATGGAAGAGTAATCCCAAGAATGTGCCGACGTGCCTGTAGACCAAAACACACGTACACGGGCGTACATCACATACAGGTAGACAGGTCAATATCTCTGTCCCCTTTGTCTTATCAGCTGTTGTGTGAGAAGAGGCTTTGCAAGAACTTGCAAGCACACGCGATTGCTCCGACACGACATGAACCGGGTGTCTTGCAGAGCCTAGTATTGCATATTGAAGATAAATCTTGATACTGCGGGCCATTACAGGCCCATGGTCCCTGCAATGAGGTCTTAATTGTGATAGGGGCTCCACCATCTTGTCGGAGGTGGCCTTTTCACAGCCTTCAGCTGACTTCAGCTGCCCTAATCAGAACCTGAAATGCTTCTTGGAATCCAGCCTTGCAGCTCGAAGTCTGGTCTGAAGGCAGAGTTACCCTGGCCCTCGGGTACGGCCGAAAATCCACTCAATGTCGATGCCTCCGGGCATCCGAAAGTGGCACCGGCCCCTGTAAAGAGAAATGCAAGGGAGCTTTGTTGTTGTTGGGGTGAGGGGGGAGGGGGCGGCAGCCAAGACAATCTTGCTTGGTGGCATTTGCAATGATGTCATTCTGTTTGCTGCTTGTTATTGTCAGCGTCAGCTTTCTTTCTGGCTACCCGGTGCAAGGTTTTGCAGGAAAGGATGTATGGGCTCCTTGAAACTCCGCACTTTCTGGACGGGAGCGCTTTGCACATGGCTTGTGAATCAGCCGTAAGCAGTAGTATGTGCGACATGTGCGCTGAGCGCAGGTTTCGGGGCTCGGATGGATCATGAGACTAGGTATACATTCATTAGAATCGTTGTGTGAGTCTCGGGTTCTGTGAGGTGTGTGTACGGGTTTGCTTTGCCCAGCTGTGGCATGGCGCAAGTAGCCTCTGGCGCTGAGGGCCGAGGTGGACAGAGGACCCACCTGGAGCCTCACACACTCACTACAGCAGCCCAAGAAAATCAAATGTTTTTCTCACATCCATGACCAATCCCCTAAACCCTAAAAAGCTGGCCTCTGAGCTGTCACCAGAGCAAACCCTACCCCCGCGAAGAGTCGCCCCAAGGTTCGGTCGCAGCTCCGAGCAGGCCTGCTGAGGCGTGCCAGGGCCTCCGAAGAGATCACTTCCCTTATACGGAGGCTGTTGGGTCCTCCGAGAACCCCCAGCGAACCATCAAACCCTGAAACCAAGCAGAAGTCTCAAACTCAAAAAAGCCCCAGAGAGCACACTGGTTTAAGGTAACGAAGGGCCGCACAACGAACTGCCATCGCGTTTGACGAAGATTCCTAGACCAGGCATCAGATTCTGATAACTCCAGATTCTGAGACCCTCCGCAGCTGGCGTAAAGCTCAAAACCTCACCACTGCAAGACGAGTAAGAAAACATCCACGGACAACTCGCCGAAATCCATACAGCCTTGTCGATTTTTTGGTAGCTTCCGTAAACCCGTGACAGGGTCCTATACAGTAATACAGCCACAGACATCCTGTGTCAACTTCTGCACCCAATAATCATGATAATGCAGAGTATGGTAAGGGCCCGGTAAATTGTTCAACTCCCAGAACCGTCCCAGCAGCAGAAAATTGGTGACTGTTTTTAAAGCCAAGCAGTTCAAGGTACCACAATACAGAAAGCGTTGAACTCATGGCCGATCCCTGTTTGGCTGCTCAGAGAAGATTCCCTGACAAGAACCGAAGACTTGTGACAGGTGGCATCCCGACAAGTTCGAGCAGCGCTTCGGGAGGCCTCGGCTTGTCTCTAAAGGTTGAATGTAAGGGCATAAATAATTAGGGTTCCTTGGCAGAATTATCGTATAATATACCCCAAAACCCTATTCCAATTATTAAGGCCCCTACATCAAGGCTAAACGGGGGAGCCCGGGCCTGAAGTCCTAGAAGAAAACCTTGTTCAAGTCACTCAGGTTCAGAGCCTCTCCCATTTGGGAGCTTGTGCTTTTTCCGTTGGCAAGGGCACGCAGTGCGAATCAGTCCATTTTTGAAGAAAGAGGCTTTGTCAGAAGACACTTGTGTAGTTGTGCTTTGCTTCAGGTGTTCTGCACCATCAGGCATCTTTGAACATAGTTATGCGCAGGGATAGGCTTTTGCAATGAAAAAGGCGTGTTTACAACATGGCCTTTCATGTTGCTACAAATCCCCGGACCATGATCATCAGCATCGGCATCGCGACCAGAACGGCCATGAGAACCGTCATCACGCCGTGACCGCCATCCTAGCATTGTTCCGCTTGTCAATGCTCGCACTGGTCATGTCAGACCCATTGTTTCTCGTAGAGCGATGTAGACTTGCTCTTGATGCTTGATTTCACGAAGAGCATGACCCGACAGACAGCCGGAACTGTGGCTGTCAGGTTTCTGCCTGTGGACGAGAAGGCATTGCATAGATAGAAGGGGTCCAGGGGATTATGGGCTTGGGAGGTCTGGGCTTGGGGTTTGGGCATTTCGGGTGGACAAAGCACATGTCGGATCTGCAGCATACTCGTTTATCGAGGCCTAGACTAGAATCCTTAGCTGGCTGCTTCTCGGAGTCGTCTTGCCAAGCCGTGCTCCCAAGGCGGTGCCAGGTTAAGTCTTTCTGTGCCACTTGAGCCCTAAAGGCTTGAATCCTAGCAGCCACCACACCTTGTTCACCCCAAATCAGTGCTTGCGGTGAGCTTTGATTTCTGCAGCGAAACAACCAGTGCTCGCAGGTGCGTTCTTCCATCTTCGGCCGTGTAAAGGCAAGTTCAGTTGCGAGTCGCCTTTTTGGAGTTCAGGGTTCAGTGTCATTGAAACACCTGACGAGCCCCATGGTCTACTTGGAAGTTCACGGTTAACTCTGTCAGGGGAAAAAGGTACAGTTGCCTAACAATAGCTATATTTTTCATGCGGCCTTTGGCAGGATATGAGTAGCTTGAAAAACCTCCAACACCCCAAGCCTCCGAAGTTTGTCAAACGCTTCTGCGCCTGCTCGTTCAGCTTCATGAACTTGATTCACTCTTCGGTCTACATGTCTGTGAACTCTGCCGTGCCGGTCAGGCGCTTGCGCAGCAGCTGACGCGCCTCATGGCGCCATGCTTAGCTGAACCGCCCTGCGCCTGACCACAAATGCCTGTCTGCGATTACAGCCCACGGTCCGCCTCCTCCTCTAACTCCAACTACGCCTACTACTCCTGCTCGTCCTGCTACTGCCGCTGCTGTTGCTGCTAGCTGCTTCTGCTGCTCCTCCTCCTGCTGCCAATACGATTACTGCTACCACCATTACTACCACAACCACTTCTGCTACTACTACTACTCCTCCTCCTCCTACTGCAGCTACTGCTACTGCTACTGCTACTGCTACTGCTACTGCTACTGCTACTGCTGCTGCTGCTGCTGCTGCTGCTGCTGCCACCTCCCGCGATATCCACGACGACAGCTACCACTGCTACGACAGTAATGGTGCACTGGAGTGTTATTCCTGTAGCTACCAATGCTCGCAGCTGCCGTCTCAGCGAAGTGATGATGCTGATCTGGGGGTCCAAGGCAGCGCTGCCTGAAGGCTGAGATATGAGCAAAAGGTGCCACTGCATGTGAAAGTACGAAGGAGCTGTGTTTGTGTTTGGGTATCGGGTCAGGCCCGGGAGCATTGCGGGCACCTGAACCAAAAGTCGTTGTTGCCGGCCATTTTCAGCCGCTTTGGCTCGGCACACGGTCTTGAGACCCCTTGGTGACATCACTTTGTATTCATGTCCTCAATGCACTGTCTAGGGGCCTGCATGTCACAAGGCGCGAAGTTCTGCGGAGTTGTCCTGCCCATAATCCTCAAGCGCACCATGGCAGAGACGTATCAGACCTGGGTGCTGCTCGAGTGGCCTAGGCTTTGGACGTGCCGCATGCTACATGTACACACTTTCAAATTTCTGTTTAAATGATACGCCGGACACCGTCAAAAAGGTCCTGTGATCTCTACTAGATGCCTGGACAGCAACCCTGCACAGATCCCAGCCACCCCATGGCCTCCGAGCACACGGCGATCCCAGCTCACCCGAGTATCTTGCTGCTAAACTCGCGTCCCTGGCTCTACGATCTTCAGGCGCTACCACACTCGCTGTGTCTCGGGGAATGTCTCTGAGATTTTGGATGGCTGTTCTTGGTGATGTGAGAACCGTGTTGAGCGCTCGTGAAGTGGAGGCTGTCTGCCTCTTGGCTGCTTTGCCTACAGCTGTCTGGCTCGCTTTCCATATTCGACAATGTCAATGCTCTTTGTAGTTTGTTCGTTTCTCTCTCTTTCTCTCTCCTGTGTTTTGTGCTCTTCAACCAGGATCCGGCAAGTGAGCTGAGCGCTGCGAGGTCAGCAGGCTCAAGGACGTGACAGACGAGCAGCTCACGACGGCCTTGCTCGGTGGATCCGTGGATGTGTGTTGGCTTCAAGGTCGGAAGCTTTGCAAATGCAACCTGATCTCTCTCTCTCTCTCCCTTTCGCTCGCTCAAACCCGAAGCACCCATCCCAGTCGTGCGCGATTGCCTGCGTGGCCATAAGCATTGCGATGTTGAAGAGGATTAGAAGCGAAGCTTCCGACGAAAGCATTGCCTGCGTGTGAGACATGTGCACGTCATAGCCATACGCCTTGAAAGTGGGTTCTGCCCTGTGAGGCTGCTGGGAGCTAGGCCGGAGTCCTCTTATTGCCGAGCTGTAGGGTTTGGTCTTCAGGGGCTGAGGATCAACGTGGGCGGCTCTGGAGTTCCTGTTGTCTGATTGCCAGTTGCGGAGACTTCTTGGCCCCTTTACGGGAACCTTTCCCTTGAAGGCCCCTATGGACGCCAGCACGATCTTTCCGACCCCGGACGTCGGCAGCACTTCCAAGACTGCCTCCCCGCACTTCGGCCTTAGCTCAGCTGTTTTTGCAGGTCTAGCAGCGCTGCAGCTGGAAATAACACTGGTGGGCCATTGCCATCTGAATCTGATCATCACCACTGCCCTCGCCGCCCTCTAAGCTTCATCATCCGCCTGATCATCATCGTCATGACAGCATCCTGTCAGAATATGTTGCTCCCATCCCTCACCTGCTCCTTTTGCTATTCGTCCTCGACGTCACGTCAGCAACCTTGTGGTCAACCGCGGTTTGCGCTTTTGCCTTCCCTGTTCATTTCTGTACAGTGGCGACAGTCTTATGCGGTTGTGAATTCCATTTCTTGCTGCAGCCTTCCGTTTCAAGCTGAGGACTTTTCTGAGGCTGATTGTATCGGTTCTCCTTATGCCATCAGCCGCTACACCTGCAACCCGGACCTGGGCACAGAGGCGCCAATGAGCACACATACTGAAGTTTCGAGTCTGCATCCTAGAGCTTGGAGAGTATCAGAGCCATGCGACTGCCAACACGACGAAGCAAGAGCATCTTGAAGCGTCTCGTCTCACGTCCTTCATCTTCTGCCACGATCCTCGCAGCTTGCTTTTCGAGGAGGATTTGGCAGAGTTCCGGGCCCGTTTGGCCTCGCAGGGGGTGGCACTCATGGTGGACTTTGTGCTCCTCGGCGTTCTTTCTGCATTTGCCACAAGCCATAAACGTCAAGATTGGCCGGCGATGCTATTGCTTCTACTTCTGCAGCAGATGGTACTGCAACCGTTGTAGTGCTGCTCCTACCACTAGTCTTGCTACTTCTGCTACTGCTACTGCCACTGCTACTGCTACTACCACGACGACGACCACTACGACGACGACCACTACTACTACTGCTACTGCTACTGCAACTACTACTACTACTACTACTACTACTACCACTACTACTACTACTACTAGTACTACTACTACTACTAAGTGGCTACGGCTCAAGCATTCAGGCTCAAATGCGATGTTGCATTTGGCGAACAGCCCTGCTTCTATCTCCTGCCAAGATGTTCTGAACCTGGCCGCACCCCTCGTAGAGCTGACGGATGCCTCTTCAGTATAATCTGATATAACAGACTTAATATAATATATCATATCATATCATAAATCATATATCATAAATGTAACAGAGCACGTTTTTTCAGAGCCAGGACTACAAACCAGGCGTTCGGAAGCCATTTTTGCAAGAAACAATCATGTGTTGATTTGGTCGCCTCGGTGTTTTTTTCGGTTGTGGCGGGGTTCGGGCGTTTTCTCGCGGCACTGCTGGGCTTTGGCCTCCACAGATGACATGCAGCAGCAAGAAATTAAAGAAGTCTTTGAGGCCAAACCACATGGCAAGAGACAGCACTTGGATCGACATCCCGGACCTGTTCATTCGAGGCCAGGGGATCTTCGACTTTTCGTTCGCTTGGGATATATTCCCTAGGCTTACGGCCTAAACGCTTTGCGGTGAATCGCGACCAGCCGTCTGCAAAGGTTCAGCTAGATGGTTGCTTGCAGCCGCGTCAGCTCCGCGCGTGCAGGCCGTGACGGGAAAGTCGCCTTCGGCAAAGATCCGTACTCGGGCGACTGGACCGACACGGCTCAGTTGAACTACTGGTGCCCGGTCACCAAGTGGAAAGAGGCTTAGATGGTCTCCATGCTTCAAAACTAGTCTCCCAAAGGCAGCAGCCAGAAGAATTTAGATGGAACTAGATTAGAAATGACCAAGATTTAGGAACCCAAAAAGGACATAAGCATAAGCATTTTGAAGGGATATCCCTACCTTATTGGGCTTCATTATAAGGGGGTTTATATGGGATATCCCTACCCTAATTTTTGCTTATGTGCTTTTTTGGGGCCGTAAAGATAACAATTCTCGTTTCAACTTCTTCGCCATAATTCGCCCAGGTCGACAGCCTGCAGGGAGCACATGTTACAGCAGCTGATGGACGTGGCGGAGAGATGCGACGGCATGCGCGTGGACATGGTCGAAGCCTGAGGCAGACGCGTGCGGTCTTTGAGTCTTTGTCACGGTTTCTCTCTAGCTTGCGATGTCAATGTCTCGTCTTCGGGCTAACTTCCTCGAGGCCATGCTCTGCGTGAACGACGTCATCGAAAGGCGGCAATAGTTCCAAGTGTTCACAATATTGTGGATACCAGTCGCCTCCGGTTTGGGGTTTGTTTGGGCCGGTGATGTGCGAAAATGGACATCCTGCTCATCTATGGGGATTTTCGAAAAGCGCTTGACGAGACCAGCTGCGCGATTCTTTCTTCTCACATCAGTTGTCCTGGGCGTGGTTGTGGCCATAGCAACAAGAGAGCCACAAGAGAATCGCAGAATAGCAACTCGTGCGTTGTTCTGGTTGCTATTCTTGCTCTGCAGGCCCATCCTTGCCACCATGCTGCTGTTTCAACATTTCATTGCCGCAGCCACGGTCGCATCACGTTGCCACAAGTTCTGAAACCACTGCTCCTTTACAAGCGGTGCGTCCAATCACCACAACAACACAAGACTACGGTTGATATAGGGTCCCATGGTCACCAGTGCGACAGCCGAGCGCTGATAGCCCCAATCCCAATACAATCGGCCTCGCTATTGTGAGGACCTGGGGTCACCACCTCCGTGAGCAGGGCTTCCACCGGCCGGGGGAGGAGTTCTGGGTTTGGGCCCTCCCGCAGCTCCGCGCGCGTACTCAGACGGCATCAGACTCGACAGAAGACCCATAGGTATGCACGGAATAGACACACACGCGGCCCATGTCCAGATGTGCACGTCTAATGTGCAAACATTCCCCCATGCATCCATACGCGCATCCGGAAACAGACGCAGGCAAATATGAATCTGCGCTCACGTATGATTGGTTTAAGTTTATATTGTTATTGCATGGTCTGGATGCAGAAGATACAATAGCACATGTATGCGTTCCAACCACAAGTCATCGAAGAGATTGACTCGGGGGGCAGTAGTCTGGACATGCTCATAATAATGTGATAATGATGGGGCTGCGAGCATGAGGCCATCCGAACTTCCTGCTGGTCGCAGAATGCTATGAGTACGACCCTTGTCGCATATGTCCCATACATTGAGTCCCGCAGGCACCGATGCAAGTGGTTATTCAAACCTCTTTGGTGCGATGTTTCAAAGTAAATATTGAAGCCTCACCAAGCGCGTATACAATCGAAACAGGAAGGTAGAGCTGTCAAGTCTTCCAGAGGGCCGATATCTTCAAGCACCACAGCGTCACCACCCACGAGGAGTTGACTGATAACTATTTAAAACCCACGTATGTGCTCTGTCTGTACCTGGCTGAGGATGAGATCCTGCCCAGCGGCACCATGCGTGAGCTGTTGCGGCAGGGCTTCAGCGCTGCATACGACAAGGTCCTTTATGACAGGCCCGACAACTGCCTGTAGAGTCGAGAATGGGAAGAGCTTGACAAGACACTGCGGTCGCCACACACTCACGGCTACGTACGGGATGTGCATCTGTATCATCTGTCTATACATATTCAGTAGCTTCTGGCTCACTCACTCTCTCTCTCTCTCTCTCCCTCTCTTTCTTTGCTACGTCTGCAATAGTCTATGTATTTAGATTCTTTTGTGTCTCTCTCTCGCTCTCATTTTCGGCCCTCTGAGGCTGACTGAGGGGCACATGGACAAGCTCCGGGGTCACATCCTTCACAGCCCGGACATGGGCACAGGCCGCACTTGATTCTCCATTTCGGGACAGGAGCTTCAGCCCTCTCCATAAGCTCGTGCGAATCTGTCCTATTTTCAGCGACGGCTCGTCAGCCTAGAGTTGCGGGCTCGTCGTCGAGAAATCATTCAGGCATAGCGGTGGCGAACGCACTTTCATGGGTTGGCCTCGGCACAGGGGACATGCATCGCCCGGGATGCTGCAGGACGTCTCTGCCACTTCACAGAGAATCACGACGAGGACAGACTGTTGCGAATCCAACCCACATTGGCAGCTTCGGCAAGAACAAAGGTGTCTTAGCGCCAGTATAACTACATCCATCGGTACCTGTATCGTCGTCATCATCACAGCCATCCAGCGAATTATCACGATCATCCGCCCTGCTTTCGGCATCGTCACGTCCAGAAAGTTGAAAGCCAGCTCCTGTCACACATGAGTCCGTGGATGAACATGAGTTTTGGGAGGAATCTTGAAGTAGTTCCGTTGCAGATGCCGCATGAAGAAGACACAGATCGCAAACGAAACCGGTTCCGCATCACTTGATCATCCCCCTTTAGCTGTGACCGAGCCTCTCACGTTCAGGGGATTGAGATGCTGGGGTTAATCATCCGTTCGGCATCCGGAGGACCGCGCTGCGGCGCATTACGGGCCCCGCGCGTTGGCGGCGACCGTAGCAGCTCGGACTGAGCATAGCGAGCCGAACATGTTTGCAGGCAGAGCAGGATAGAAGGATAGAAGATTCGAGCAGAAGAGGCATTGTTCGCTGTTTCCTTTAGCAGCTTTAGCAAGACTGTAGGAACAACCCCAACATATTAGTGCTCATATTAAAACCCCCCATAAACGCCCACGGTATCTTAATCAGCCTCCTAAGTCCGAGGCCTCTCTGTCTCTTCCGGGCCCACGCCTCCTCATGTGGGGCCAGGCCAGGCGCCCCTTTTTTGGGGGGAGGGTTTCTTCAAGAACGTCCAAGCTTTTCTAAGGCAGCCCAAAACCCAAAAGCCTCACCCTACCCGCTGAGCCCTGAGCCTAAACAGCTTCGTTGGTAGCGATTGTTCGAGTGTTGGTGTGTCGCTCACCCTGCACTTGGCTTAATTTCCCTGTTTTCCTTGTTGCTCCAGTGGGAGCGGAAAAAGCCCATTGATTGCCTAAATTGAAGCTCTACATTACACTACTCCTCCCAAAGCCAGAAGCTCCGGCAAGTTCGGCGGAGGCCCTAGGGCTCCGGGCGCGGCTCGCCGTGCACCTTCGCAGAGCCCGCCAAGAGGCCCAAAGAGACAGGAAAAGCCGAAAACAGACCCCAATTCCCAGAAGCCGCATTCGAGATATAAGTTTCGGATTTGAGGATTATGTATCTGGAGTTTCGGATTGAACATGTAGAGGCCTGGAATTTTGTTTCGAAGGGCTCTTTTAGATCACTGAAAAACACATAGATATCTTCGCTGGCTTGTGCGAGCTTTTCCGGTTGCTCCTGTGGTTCTGTTCGTGTCGATTGTACTTGTGATGATTTGTCAAGCCTGCACAATTCATTCCATGTGCATTCGCACTGTCTTCGTCATTGCTCGTGCTGAGAACACTACTAATTACCCCGTACCATGATTTACGATCAAAGTGATTCTTGTCTTGTCGTCGTTTCGGATGCTGGAGCCTATTATTTTTCGGCTTCAGGGCTTCCTGGAGTCTTATGGCGCTTGGGCCGCAGAGTTTCAGAGTTCTGCTGGCTGTAGAAGTCTAAGACGGGCCCAAAACACGATTTTTCTTGAAGCCTGAGAGGCTCCCGATTCAGCTCTTTCCACTATCTGGCCTCGGCTGCTTGCAGCGCTGCCACACTGCCGGGGCAGCTGGCAGGCTCTCTCGTATACAGTGACTTCAACAAGCATCTTGTTGCGTCTTGTAGAGTACAGGACTACCACACTTATGATGGTTGTCACTGCCTCAGCTTTCGTTATCATCGGCACGGCGAAGCCCGTCTTGGTGTTCAGCAGAATTGCTACCTTTGTCGTTCATCTTACTGCTCGTACTTGCGCTTCGGTTACCCTCTGAATGTGCCATGCAAGTTGCTTCCGACTCGCTGGGTGTTGAAGTAGGTTGAATGAATAGATGTTGACATCACGCTGGATCTCTCAGGGTTGCTTGGATTCCTTGTTGCTGATAGCGTGAAGCCACGGAGCCACCCAACCCGAAGTCTAATTGTTGGGATCCCGACATGGCGAGCCATGTCCAGGCGAGTCTGCCTGTGCATGGGGACGACTCTTGGAGGCTCAGTCTGCACCGCAATTCAGACTTGAACGATGAGCTTTGGCTCTTTGGCCCACCCAACACACTCTGCGCGGAGTTCCAGGTTCCTTGCATGGGGCTGGAAGCCGGATCGTGAGGCGGGGTCCATGTGCGACGTCAGGCCTTTTTCTGACGAGCACGTTCCCTTGAGTTCCCCACAGGATTGAATTCGTAGTTTGAACTCAGGCCGCCAAGTCCGAGGTGGTCGCTTGCATCGTCGTCGTGAGACTTGGCTGCTGGCCGATCCTTCAGCCGACATTTTGCCGGCACCGAGCATGAGACCTTGTGAGGAACTTCACCGATTCGACGGGCTGGGCCACATTGAAGCCGCATGCCCGCAGAGCACAGCCACAATGACAGAAACTGGAACACTGCTGCCGGTGTGGCAACAAGAACCACTATTACTCCATCTGCTGCTGTGACACAGGCCCCTACATTACGCATCCTTGTTCTTGATGCTATTTGCCTGATCCCAGATGTATTCGTCCCTGCCGCTG